TCAACAAGCAAATTTGATCAATTTGATCCTTGTTACCCTTTGTTACTAGACCAGTGATAAGACTAGCTACCCTATAGCTTCAAAGTCTTATAGTAAAATATAAAAATTTAAATATATAGTTCTTCCTCGTTTTCCTAAGGTAAGTAAAAGATCTATTTTGTAATTAACAGGTCCGATTTTTTTTATAACTTTATAAAGTCTAAGTTTTTTAAAATTAAGTTTATTACTTAGCTTATTTATCTTAATATTTAGCTGTTTATTATTTTATAAATATTAAAGTAAGTAAACTATATCTCCCTCCTTAAAGGTTAATCCTCTAATCTTTCTTATATTTATAAATTTAGCTATTCGTTATTTAACAAATTTAAGTTATACTTACAATTCTTAATACAGTTCTTTAAGTTTATCGGCTATAATAATAGCTTTACTAATATTTTCTCCTTTAATAGGTAGTTAGTGTAAATTTAGTTTAAACCTGTAGTTTATGTAAAATAGTAAGTAGTTTATAAATTCTACTAGTATATTATTATAGAATACTTAGGCAGTTAGTAAATATTCTACCTAATTATTTTAGTTAAAGTTAACGTAGCACTATAAGTATATTTTAATAATTTAGTTAATTTATTCTATTTATCTATCTATCTAAGGGTAGTAAGCTATACTAGCTTTATATTTTAATCTAATTCTTACTATAAGTAATTACTAAAATTTTAATATAAATATTAATCCTCTATCTAAAATAATCTTATTTAGCAGTTTATAATTTACATAAATATATTAGAAAAATACATAAGCTAAGTCTTCTATAGAGCTTTATTCTTTTATTAAAATAAAGTAGGCTATTTTTAAAAGTTAGTTAACTACTATAAAAATACTATCCTAAGTATTATTAGTTATAAGTTCTTTTAAAAGTAGAAGCTTTATAATATAGTTAAATATTATTAATTCTTAATTTTTAACTAGAACCAGTAAGGGTTATAGTTTTCTATAAGGAAGATAGCGTAATACCTTAGCTCGTCTATATATTATATATTCTAATATAACCTTCTATACCTATTTCTTAATACCTTTAAATTTAAAGTATCGTGCAATTTACTATATAGTTTTTCTAATTCTATGGTATTTATTAAGCTTATATACATAGACTAATTTTACTACTTTACTTCGTAAGTCTTCTAATACCTAGATAAGTCTATCTAATATTAGGTATCCAGTATCCATAAAAACACCTTCTAAATATTATTCATTTTCCTAGTTTTTAATATATTCCTTTATATTATCAATAATTAAGTCGTCTATCTTAATTTAGTATAAGGTATTAATTAATTAGATAACTAAGTCTTTATACTGGTTTTTCTCTAGTATTTAAGCTTTAACTTCTGGGATTTCCTAAAAGTAGTCTAGGCATCTGCTAAGTATATTAGCTTATTTATTATCTAATCCACTGCAGTATTTAATAATAAGCTTAAATTCAGAAAGTCGCTTATAGTATTTAACTTATTTATAAAATAATTCTTATATTATCATAAAGTAAGTAATATTTTAATAATCCATAAAGATTAACAAAAATCAACTTCCTTTATAATAATATCTCTAATATTATTTACTAAGCGCTTAGTATATAGCCAGAAATTCCTTATTGTAGATAAGGTATTTAAGTTCTAATCTATGTAATTTCTTAGAGAAATAAGTAATAGGCCTAAGTCTCTTCTTCTTTATATTATCTAGTTAGCTAAGTACTCCTCCGATTACGTAATCTAAGGTATTAGTTTTAATTATAATAGGTTTATTTAGGTTAAATATTATAAATACTAGTGCACTAGTAAGAGCTTGTTTAAGGCGTTTAAAGGCTGTTAAAGTATCTTATATTAATTTAAATTTAATATCTTTCTTTATTAAGTTTATAAGTAATATAATGATTTTTAAAAAGTCTTTAATAAAACGTTAATAATAATTAACAAATCCTAAAAAGCTTTATACTTACTTAACGTTCTACAGTAGTTCCCAATCACTAATTGCCTTAAGTTTCTTAAGGTTTATTTAGACTCTGCCTAGGGTAATAATATATTCTAGGAATATAACCTTCTATATATAAAAGTTATATTTCTTAAGTTCTACCAGGAGTTTATTATCTTAAAGTATTTATAATACCTTCTTAACGTATTTCTTATATTTTTCTAAGTTTTTAAAATAAATAAAAATATTATTAAAGTATATAATAATAAAATAATCTACGTAGTCTTGTAATACATAGTTAATTATTTTCTAGAATATCGCTGGGGTATTCGTAAGTCTAAAAGGTATTACCTAATATTCGTAAAGTCCGTATTTTATATAGAAGGCAGTTTTCTATTTATTACCTTTCTTAATTTAAATAAGGTTATACGCTCCTTTAAGGTCTAGCGAAGTAAAGATCTTAGCTTCTATAAGCTAGTCTTTAATTTCTAAAATTAGTAGTAGTAGTATAATATCTTTCTTAGTTATTGTATTTAATTATCAGTAGTCTATAATAAATTAAAGTTTACTATTCTTTTTAAGTATAAATATAATTAAATATTTTACTAAGGATTTAAAAAGTTTAATATAACCTTTCTTTAGCTAGTCTTTAATTTATTTATTAAGTATCTTAAGTTTAGTAGTACTTAGGTTATAAATCTTATTAAACATTAGGACTTTATTATCTATAAGCTTAATCTTATAATCCTATTAGCTATATTTTAGTAGTCCAGTATTTAATTCTTTATTAAAGACTAGTATATACTAAAGGTTTATTAATATATTCTTTAAATATTCTAGTATTTATTAATCTTAGTAGTATAATTCCTTAACTTTTTATATAATTAAGTTTAGAAATCTAAGCTGTTTTTTTTTAGGTTTCTTAATATATTTAATTATTTTTAGGAACTTCTTTAGCTTCTTAAATTATACTTATTTTATAACTTTTCTTTTTTCTATATATTTTTATATTTTTTTATTTAATACAGGGGTCACTAATCCTATTATCAGGGATATTATAACATCCTATTAATCCTCCTAATCTAGTTATAGTATATCTCTAAAATTAATTAATTTAAAGTAAATTCGCTATCTTACTTAGCCTTTAATTTAATTAATATTAGGGTTATATAACTTAAGTTAATTATATCCTAAAAGTATATTATATCCTATAATATTTATAATATTAAAACTAAATATATTTTTAATTTTACTAAACTAGATCTTAAGGAGATTAGTCTTATAGTTAACAGTTCTATTATTATAAGTAAATTATTATTTCTTAATACTTACAAAAGTATATAGTTTCTCCTTTTTATAGTTATCTAACTATAGGCAGTTAACTAGTTAAGGCGTAATATAGCTTATTATAGCTCCGGAGTCTATATAAACTATAATTAAATATCCTTCTAAGGTACCTAATACTTAGAATTTTTATAGTTTCTTTCTTCTTATAAAGGTATTTAGGTTATAGTAGATTACATTATCAGCGCCGTTATAATAATTATTACCATAAGGGTTAATATTAATATTATCTAAGTCTAAGGTAATCTATCCTAATTCTTTATTTTAAATATTATAGCGTTTATACTAGGTATATTTAAGTTTAAGTATATATTTAGTAGTAAGCTTATAGTACTTCTAAAGGTTATTTTAGTTAATTCCTTATAGTTTATTATTATTACTATACTTTATAAAGTTAAATCCTTATTGTTTTAAGTTATAGGTAATATATACAAGGGCTTAGCGTTAGTACTAGTATTTCTTATAATAATTTTTATTATAAAGTGTAAATTCCTTTTATTTACATTTAGCAGCTTTATAATCCTTATATTATTTATTAAGCTTAGTTATAATATATTATTTATATAGTAATAGCTTATAATTAATAATATTAGCTTTATTATATTAGTTAGTAAGTAGGATATTATTAACGTAGTATAGGATTAGTTCTAATATCTTAGCTATTAGGTATTTATCTACGTTAGTCTTAATATATTATTAAAACCGATTTTCGGGTAATTAGATTTAGTCGTAGGTAGTACTTAAATTAATCTATTTAATCTGTCCCTATTATTTAAGGAGTTTCTAGTAGTCCTTAAGTTCCTTATATTATATAATTTCGTTATAATATTTATTTTCTTTAATAATACCTTATATTCTATATTAGTCTTTATATTATTCCTAGTCCGCTGTAATTATTTTACAGGGGTAGTAGGGTCCTTTAGGTTCTACTAACCTACATTAGTCGCATATATATTTCTTAAGTTCTTTAATTTCCTCTTATATCCTTTCTTTACAGGGGTTATACCGTAATAGCAGTACTGTATTTAAAAGATCCTTATTATATTATTATATAGCTTCATCTTATTCCCATTCTCAAAGTACCTCTTCTTTATCTTTAAATTCATTATTTCATTCTTATTTATTAAAGTTCTATTAAATAAGTTATTTAATATAACTAAGGTCTTCCTAGGTAACTTCCTTAAGGGTATTTAAGGTTTATATACGCCCTTTAGGGTACTATCTTAATCCTTATTTATTACTGCAATAGGTCTAACAGTTATTATTATAGCATACTAAGAAGTATAGAATATTATAGTCTTCCGAGGGTTATATAGTATTAATAGCTTAGTTTTCCTTAGGCTTTAGGATAGGCGTAAATTTTTTATTTCCTATTTTTTTAATAAGCTTTTAATAATACTTTTTTATATATCCTTTTTCTCTACAGTTATAGTATTCAACATTCTTACGTTAAGCCTTAATAATACTAAGGTCTATTAAGCCTAGTCGTCTATTATTAAAAAAGGCAACATAGTTATTTTACTTCTTTCCTTAGTTAGCTTAGTATCTTTAAGTTTACTTAAGTTAAATATTATAAAAGTTCCTATTCTTTTCTTACTTCCGCTCTTTCTATTATTCCTAATTACAATTATTAATCTTAATAGCTTTTTAAGTATAATTAGTAAAAGTTATTTTTTTATAGTTAATTTTAAAAAGTTTATCCTTAACTTTAGGTTTTATACTATTATAGTAGACTTCCTTTTTTATTTCCTTAGTTTAGTTAACTTTAGTTAATAAGCGTAAAAAAGTTAAAGTATACTTACTTAGTAGTCCTTTTTAAATAATAAAATAAAGTTCTTACTTAGCTTTTTATTATTTATTTATAATACTAAAAAACTTTCTAAATTATTCTTAAAATTCTATATACTTAGTATAAATTTCTTTAGTTTACGTTTTAAACTTTTTTAAAT